AGCCAGCACCAGCGCAGCACACAGAACCGCCGTTTACCTTCCCGCTAGAAAGCGGTACCTATTTATCTACTTGCACTTAAGGGTGCTTTCGAACTGCTAGGTGGGCAGGAGCTGGGACTGAAAGACGGGAGCTCACCCCGCTGCGGGGATTCGAACCGCCGACCATGAGATCAGCAAGTCCTAGGCACTGAGGTTTTACCCACAGCGCCACCCGCGTCCCTTAATAAATAAACAACTCATGGAGAACTCTGGGAAGTTCAGGGCTCTAAATCATGTGGGGAGCTTACTCAAGAGCATCAGGCTTCCCATTGTACATCACAGAACGGCCTCTACCGCAGATCACAGTGAGCTGGGCAGCCTGTATGGGATAAGACAACCATTCAGATAACCTGCTCCCAAGGTGTTTAGGGCCTTATGAGTCAAAATTAATACCTTAAACCATGGGTAGCCAACCTGGTTCCCTGCAGATGTTATGGACTACAACTGCCTCCAGCCCCATTCAGCATGACCAATGGCCGGGGATGCTAATAGTTGTCATCTAAAACATCTGGAGCAGACCATGTTGGCTACCCCAGCCTTAAAGCTACTATCATCCATTTGATTGGATTCCACATTGCTTGTGTTGTGCCTGGTACAACGAAGCACCAGCAGTTATTTATTCTCTTGCTTGGCTTTTAAAAAACCTTCAAGAAATACCTGTCCACTTAGATAGCTTTTAGGGGGATACCTACCTACAGGTAGCCACTTCATGCATCTGTCAAAATAGACTCAAGTCCATAGAGGCTTTTGGCTCAAAGTGAATTTTACCTCCCAAAAATGTTTTTTTACTGAAGGAGCCCCCACGCTCTTGTTTTTGTTCAGCCACCACTCTGGAAAAGAGAATTGGTTATCTCAGGCTAGTGAATGGGTGGCTGTGGATCACGGTTTTTAGAGCCTTTTCAAACTTTTACTTAGCACCGTTTCTGCAATGAACCTGTTAGCTTTTGAACATTATGCGTAAAAATATCCTTTTGCCAGACAGTAAGGGGGATGGCTATTCAATTGACACTCCGAACCAGATGCCTCATGCTTCTTCTTCTTCCATTATTGTTTCCTCTGTGGATTCTACATGATGTGACATTTTATCTGTTAAGTTTCCAGGCACGGGGGAAGCAAACGAGGAAGCTGATTAACAGAACCCCGTGCGCAACTAGGAAGCGGTGTTTCTCAAGTGCTGAGATGCACAACTGTGCTTTTCAGGCTAATTTGAACGGTGGTGATTGTGTAATGAGAAGGAAGAAAATTGAGAAACATTTATGATTTACTCCGACAGCTGGAATGTACTTATCCAGCCAACGGAGAGGGGAAAAATAGTGCTGCTTTTAGTGAAGAAGAGCATAAGGCAAAGCGAAGAAAAACACAGCAATGTTGTGATCAGCACAGGGAAGGAGAAAACAGCCTCAGTTGGTTGGGGTGTCCAAATTCAATACAGATGATATTTGTCTACTTTAGCTAAAGAATGCCTTAGGAGGCAGAGTGAAAGGTCAGGATAGATGTAATCGAGAGAGACAGCAGTTACTCCATTTTCTCATAATAGGGATTCCATTGATAGCTTGCTCACACATCTGCACACACTAGTTTGAAGTGATTCCAGATAATTGGCTAGGTGCTGGCCTCGCTGTGATGGAAATGGCTCAACATGGCCAAATGTTTCTCACAATGGAACGTACAGAAAGCAAAGTGTGAAAAATATCCTGGGTAAAGGGAAAAACCTTGCTGAATATGCTTTAGGTGGGAAGCTAACTCCTGATCAATGCCCTTTGAGGGCCAGTGGGGCCTTCAGAATCCTAGCTTACCTGCCTGGGTGTGAACAGCAATTCTGGCAATTTGAATTTAGAGTTACTGGCCCCTCCAGTCTCTGCCGAGAGGTGCAAGATTACAGAGATTTTGGCACTTAACCATGGTTTGTGTTTCCAGTGGAAAATGAGGCACAGCGGAGACTGTAGTGTCTTTATGAATTTTTTTTTGCACATATTTACACCTGAGTTTGGATGGGAAGAGGGTTCTGAGCATCCCAACTCCAGAGGGGCTTGCTCCCCGCAATGGAACAACATTGGATTCAAAAGCACCCAAAACACTCTGTGTCTCTCTTTGTCTCCTCCACATGATCTCTGTGCCTCCTCCACATGATTTGTACGTCCATTGGCCTGCATGCCATCTGGCTCCACCCTTCTTTTTCTCATATCCCCTTGCTAAAATGCAACCCACGTCTCCTGGGGGAAAAAAGACATCACGCCCCCTGTGACCCTGGCAACCTCCCTCTCCTGACTCTGTTGTTGCATTTTGCTAACTAACACAGAACTGGGGGAGGGACTCCATCTTGTCTCAACGGTTCACTTTTTGTCAGGGTAATGACTCTGCCATCACCTCTTTTGTTCTTTGATGGTACCTCTCTCAACCGATCTCCTGAGGAAGCTGGTTTGACTTATTTTTTAGGCCTTGTGAAATCCATTGATCAAACCCTACATTGACTAGTTTCAGAAATTATGGGGAGAACCTGGCAACCAGGAATCTTAGGGGATCCTTGTACCCTGCAAACCCATTATACTAGGTAGAGAAAAGCAATCTGAAAGTGGCTCCATACTGTCAGTATTTTGGAGCGGGGATTCAAGTTTGGATTTGATATCCCGCTTTATCACTACCCTTAGGAGTCTCAAAGCGGCTGACATTCTCCTTTCCCTTCCTCCCCCACAACAAACACTCTGTGAGGTGAGTGGGGCTGAGAGACTTCAGAGAAGTGTGCCTAGCCCAAGGTCACCCAGCAGCTGCATGTGGAGGAGCGGAGACGTGAACCCGGTTCCCCAGATTACGAGACTACCGCTCTTAACCACCACACCACACTGGCTCTCAAAGTTGGTCATTCCCTGTGCTGGCGAGGCTCATTTGACAACAACAAGAAACCAAGCCTTAGTGTCATTGACCCAGCATTGTGGAACACTCTGCCAACAGAGATTCAGCAGGTGTCTTCAAGTTTTAAATGTGTGCTGAAAACTTGTCTATTCCAGGCAGTTAAGAATAACTCCACAATACATAGGTGGTTTTTGATTTCAACTTTCTATATGGTTTTTATTGTATGGTTTGATGTGCTATTGTTGCAAACCACTCTGATTTTTTATGAATAGTGGTATATAAATAGTTTAATATATAAGTAAAAGCAAAAAAATAGATTGTGTAGCTGTCTATCATTCTACGTGCACACACACACACATACACATTGCTATTAACCTTACTGTGAGCCACAAATCTCAGAAGCAAATACAAACATATTGCCACATTAGAGACAGTGGGAATAAAGTGCTCCTGAGTGGCTTGTGGACAGCAGCCTGCCGTTTGTGACTCTTTGACCAGCCATAAAGCTTAAGCGCTGGTGCTGACCACCCATGAGCTGGTTGCAACATTTCTGCAGAGGATTTTAAAATGCTTCTCATTGCCAAGAGCTAATCTGTCTTTAAGTGTTTTAGAGTAATGGAAAGTCCTGTGCCAGAAGCGAGAAAGGAAACATAGCATAACATGCTTGGGTCTGGATGTGGTCAATTAAGCATAGCAGCTAAAAAAGGCTGCTAACTTGCTTTCTTAAAATAAAAACAGGCGATTAGTGGGCCAGTTTATGTAAGCACGCTGTGCGATGCAAAACAGAATGTGAGCATTGGGAAAATTCATAAATGTTAAGTAATACTTGCTGTTTAAATATGATCCATATACAGTGGTACCTCGGGTTAAGTACTTAATTCGTTCCGGAGGTCCATTCTTAACCTGAAACTGTTCTTAACCTGAAGCACTACTTTAGCTAATGGGGCCTCTCGCTGCCGCCATGCTGCCAGAGCACGATTTCTGTTCTCATCCTGAAGCAAAGTTCTTAACCTGAGGTTATATTTCTGGGTTAGCGGAGGCTGTAACCTGAAGCGTATGTAACCTGAAGTGTATGTAACCCGAGGTACCACTGTACATGTATAAGTGTACACATATATACACAATAGGCAAGTACAGGTTTAGGCAAGCGATTTTCCAGAATACCACCTTGTGGTTTCCGTTATTATTATTATTATTATTATTATTATTACTACAGTGGTACCTTCAGGTTAAGAACTTTGCTTCAGGTTGTGAACAGAAATTGCACAGCTGCAGCAGTGGGAGGCCCCATTAGCTAAAGTAGTGCTTCAGGTTAAGAACTGTTTCAGGTTAAGAACGGACCTCCGGAACGAATTAAGTTCTTAACCCGAGGTACCACTGTATATGGATCATATTTAAACAGCAAGTATTACTTAACATTGTATGGTGTGGTGGTTAAGAGCAGTGGACTCATAATCTGGGGAACCGGGTTCGCGTCTCCGCTCCTCCACATGCAGCTGCTGGGTGACCTTGGGCTAGTCAAACTTCTTTGAAGTCTCTCAGCCCCACTCACCTCACAGAGTGTTTGTTGTGGGGGAGGAAGGGAAAGGAGAATGTTAGCCGCTTTGAGACTCCTTCGGGAAGTGATAAAGCGGGATATCAAATCCAAATTCTTCTTCTTCTCTAAGATTGTTCTTCCTACCTTCACTTTTTTATAAGCACTTGTATTAAACAACTACGCTGTCCGATTAATCACAACACTTTTTAATCCATTTTGCTTTTGGCATGTGGTCCCCAGAAGGTTGCTTACAAAGTTCTTCTTCTTCTTGTTTGGTGATCACTCATAGTTGAGTAAGATTGTCTTCCATGAGCATGGTCTTAACAGTGACTGTGGAGGCCAGTTCTGGATCCACATGTCCTTCCACAGTGGGGAGATAGGTTTCCGGGCAGGAGTTGATCACGTTGATGGTTTGCCAAGCGGGTTTGTAGCTTACAAAGTTATATGGCCCTTGGCCATAGGAAAGTCCCCTTCATATGGTTCCCTTCCCTGGTCATAATGAAACAACCCAACAGAACCATGAGGTTTGTGCATAGTCATCATAATCATGGAATGTTATGGGGGGGGAGAGAGAGAGAAAAGAAATGTGGGTGGAGAATGATACATCCTATTTGAGCTCCTTACAGCTTATATTACCCTAGAGAAGGGAATGAACAGGAGCACTCCTGCTAAAGAGTGAGGAAGATACACACTGCAACATTTTGTTGCAACTTGTTTCTCCTATCACAGTAACACCTTTAAACAGGGCAGTGTTTATCTTTTCCAAGAAAAATTTCCAGCTACAACTCTCCTGCAATACAGCTGGTCCATAACTGTAAGTACAAATGGTGGCTCATCTGAGTATAGCTCCCTGGGAACTGAAAGCAACAGTGCTATAGGCAGGAACCAAAATGGTTAACTTGGGACTTTCCTTAAAATGCTGTACTTCCAGCTGAGTTGACTCAAACAGTCATTCCTTTACCTGCCAATATGCAGCATTTGAAAAACCACGGTTTTTAAAATAGCTTTTGTTTCAAAGCTTTCATGGCTTGAAACGCCTTCTTAGCTGTTTGATAAAATAAAATGCATTTTCTTAGCATCGAGGTGATGTTGCAGGGAATGCCTGCTTCAGACATGAACAAAGACTAAAGACCACATGTCCTGCCTGCCAGACCAGCAGGAAACAGATAAAAGTCAAAACAACCTTGTAAGGGGGAGTAAGACAGTTTGAGGTATCAGGCGTGATCTGCCCAGCTCTCTGCCTTCAGCAAGCCTTGGGGTCTCAAATTTCAGTGGCAACCTGTGTGACACCCAAATTTGGTGCCCTCCTGCCTCTCAACTTCCATTCTACATCATAGTTGTGGTGCCCCTGAGGCTCAGCACTAGGCCTGGGCGATACATCAATATATGAGAAGCATATGTATGATGTATGATGATATGTATTGATGTATGAGAAGCAGACCGCGATGTCGGTTTCACTCAGCTGTATATCGCTGGTGAAACCGCCGCTGCCGCTCCTGAGTCTCTCTGCTAGCAGCATCCACTGTAGGGAGTCAAGAATTTCTTCCTCTCCAGCGGGCACTGCAAGCAGAGGAACTCAGGAGCGGCAGCGGTATATCGCTGGTGAAACCACCATCCCACTCTGCCCTCATACAATGGAGAGGGAGAAACAAGGCTCCAAAACAGCTTCTTCTTCCCTCTGCATCTTTAAACTGCTCAACGGAGGAGTGTGTAGCTGCCCCTGCCTCAGTCAAGCAGTTAAAGGAGCCCCCAGTCCAGTGCTGGCTTCTGCAAGTCTGCAATGGGGTGGGAGCTCTGTGAAACTGCTGAGGGGGGCGTGGTTGCCGCTCCCTGCAGTGGGCAGTTAAAGGAGCCCTGATGCTTTGCCCGCTCGTAGCAAGAGCACCAGGGCTGTCTCACCTGGGGAGGGGGACATTCCCTCCCTGCAGCTGAACAGCACAAACAAGCTGTGTTGTCCCAGCTTGCAAGCCTGGGTGAAACCGACTCTGCTCTCGAGGTGAGAGCTGGGGCAGTTTCACCGCTGTCTCGTGGGCAGAGGCCAATGCGTCTTGTTTTTTCATCATTGCGGTGTATCGCCAACCACGATGTTTGGTTGGCAAATACAATGCAGTGTTGAAAAGCTGATATCTCCCAGGCCTACCCAGCACCCAGTGCGACCAAACTGCTCGTGCTTCCCTAAATCTGCCTCTGCTGCCTGGCCTTGAGGAAGGGTGTGTAATACAATTTGGGTATTGATGAGGAATTTCTCTCTGCCTGTCAGGTCGAAGAGGAGCACCAACAGCTCCCCTGACCAGAAAAGGCGGGAGCCAGAAGAAGACAGTGCTGGACACTGATGGAATATTGCATGCTTGCCTGACCCAGAAAAGGGCAAGCCAGAAGCAGAGGTTCGGGGCTTCCTGTTTCTGGTGGTGAGAAATGGCTGACTCCCACATGATCGGACCTCAACTGTGCCGGTAATTCAGGGTTGATATGGGGGTAATTAGCCGTGGCAGACTCCCCAGGGTGGGGGACGACTGTCTCGTAGACCCGCAGATCGTCCGAGATTCTCAGCTGGCATCAAGGTGCAAGCGGCAGGACCCTGGGTGCCAGAGCATGACATGGCCGGCACTCTCCGATGTCATTCTCATAGCCGGAAATATCTCTTTGATAAAATGATTGGATTTGGACAATAACCAGACATAGTCAAGACTGAAGAAGACTAAGGAAAAACCTGCTGAACTGTACAGTCCCTGGTGTTTAAGTTTAAGCTCAGACCTCAAAGAGATTACCATCATGGCGTGTGGATTACAGAGGTGTTTGGTGTGTCTTTTGTTTCTTCTTAACGACTACAATTGGTTTTCTATGCCAAGCCTCATTAAGAAACCTTTTAAAAAAACCGGAGTACACATGGACTTCTATTTATGATTAAGTATTCAGCTGCGCAGCTTTACTTAGACTTGATAAAGATAAAAGAAGAAACAAGATGGCGCTTGTTAGTATGAAGCAGCACGGGAAAATGAGAATTCTTCCCTTTTTTGAGGGAAGTGGGAAATACAATGGTACCTCGGGTTACATAGGCTTCAGGTTACATACGCTTCAGGTTACAGACTCCACTAACCCAGAAATATTACCTCGGGTTAAGAACTTTGCTTCAGGATAAGAACAGAAATTGTGCTCCGGCGGCGCGGTGGCAGCAGGAGGCCCCATTAGCTAAAAGAATGTCCTACTTGAGAAATAATAGTTAAGAGTAAAGAGGGTGGATGCAAAGGAAACTTCTTATTGTGTCAAGAATGGCTCAACCTGCTATAACTTGGTTATGTGCAAAATGAAAAGCCAGGTTGCCACACCTAGCACCCGCCCCCCGAAGTGAGAGGCAAGGGGGAGGAAAAAAAATATGGAAATGATTTTTATTGGTTTTACAAAATAAATCTCACAGTTAGCACATTTAAGTTTTAAAATCAAGCAAGACTCTTCAGACTTCCCTCCTCCCCTCCGTGGGTCCCTTGTCTATCTAAATCAACTGCATATTATAATTCATCTCCATTATAGTCCTCCAAAATATCCAAAGTCTATGTAACATTGCAAGAGTTATTGAAAGCCTGCCAAAGAGCTCAAATGATTACAGTGTTCTTTTAAGTACAATCTGTATTTGCCCCATTCTCTATTGAAGTTTTGATCCTCCCAATTTCTGATTTTTCCAGTCAGTCTCGCCATCTCTGCATAATCTAGTAGTTTCATCTGCCAGTCCGCTTTTGTCGGCATCTTATCCTCTTTCCGATCAAGCGATGTAAATTTGTGTGTGTGAAATACCGTAAATAAACAAATGACAATGATCCAGGAGGCAAGTAGATGTACCCCTCACCACCTACAAATTCTTTAATATGGCATCCCAAGATGAAGAAAATAAAATGGATATATAATGGACCACTTACACTATGGGAGGAGAATTTCTATTGAAGATTCATAAGTAAAATTTCCCAAAATACAGAGGGCGCATGCTGGATTTGTGCACATCGGCTGACCGATGAAATAGAACAGGGGTCAGCACTGTCAGTCCACTGTCCCTCAGACCTTGGGGGGGGGGGGGCGGGCGGACTATATTTTGGGGGAAAAAATGAACGAATTTCTTTGCCCAGAGATGCATTTTAAATAAAAGCACACAGTCTACTCATGTAAAAACATGCTGATTCCTGGACCGTCCATGGGCCAGATTTAGAAGGCGATTGGGCCGGATCCGGGCCCTGGGCCTTAGTTTGCCTACCCATGAAATAGAAGGAACCCTTCTAGTAGAGATACCTGTCTCTTTGTCAGATTCTGTTCTTGAATTTCCACTAAACTGGAATTTAACACCCCTAAACATGACTAAGGACAGTATCTGGTTCTAGGCGAAAAGACTGTTGGACCAGAAAATTCACTGGAAAAGGGTGGATCCAATGAATCCAATCAGGTTATCAAAGTAAATGGCACCAACTACGTTCTGAAACATAACATTCATATCCCCGAGGAGGAAGGGTCAGAGCCAGCGGATTGGTGGTGGGACACTTAGGAGAGGTCAGAGGGAGAAGATTGGGAGGAGGGGCTGGATGCTAAAGGGGCAACAGGATTTAGTGAGCAGGAAGAGCCTGTGGCAGGCAGCAGTTCAGACTCTGAGGCTGAAGCAGAGGAAGGGGGTCAAGAGGCTGCTGAAGAATCTAGGGAGTCTCCTTCTCCCGCTGCAACAAGCTCCCCTCTCCCATGGTCTCCATGAAAGCACAGAATAATGAGGAGAGGAGGAACCTTAGAGAGTGTGGAAGAGTGGACTTTCAGTCCTGGCAGCTGCTCCATAGGGGCAAGACCTACTGGGAATTGTTGTTGAGACCACTACACTGAGTTGTATGTTCATTTCCTTGAATAGTTAAATTCACTGTCAATGCAGATCTGCTTCCTTTATTGCTGACCTGAGTCTGACTCCAGCCGTTACACATACATCCAGATTGCTTGATCGCAATCAGGGCTTTTTTCATCTGAAACCCACTGGAACTGAGTTCCGGCACCTCTTTGTAGCGTACCAGCAGCTGTATAGCGGCACAGCGCCCAGGGCTGCGTGTCAGAGGCTTCGGGCTGCATGCCTTTCATGGCTTTGCGTCAGAGGTTATGGGACAGCGAGGCGGAGGCGACACTTTAATCTGGCCGCAGCAGGTTGTCCATCAAAAAAAAAAAGTGGGAGTTCCTGCACTTCTTTTTCTAGAAAAAAAAGCACTGATCATGATAATACAGCATAATACTTTTGGAAAGTAAGATGCAAGCTAGTTTGTTGACATTTATCTCAAATCTCAGGTGCCTGGAATAGCATTTTTCTGAGGGCTGCCCATCATTTCATGTTCTGTACTCCTGGTACAGATACCCACACAAAAGCGCATCTCATAATGTATGTGCGGCACACGTCCGTTTAACTGTCAACTGAATAAAGGCCTTCTGTCGTTTTAAACCCATCTGAGGGTGATTATTTAATTTTAGGCTGCGTATACCTTCCTTGAAACCAAAGGTAACACACACCACTAACCACAAAGCACTAACCACCTTTAGTTATTCCTAGTTTCATCAGATCAGGCTGTGGGACATTCTATCAATGGACGTATTTCTGAGATTTTATACCTTGCTTTTCTATCTGACGCTTTTCATTCATTTCTCTTTAGATTAACATTTATAAGCTGCTTTTCCCATTCTTTTTAGATTAACATTTATAAGCTGCTTTTCCCATCTCCCGAAAAGTGCAAAGCAAGATGCAACAACATAACGAAACGAAACGGGATTAAAAAGAACCCCGCACACCCAATTCAACAGATGCAACATAAAAAATAAAATCTGGCTTGTACGTTCCCGACCGTGGGCTTTGGTCTGCCTGCCTGTTGGAAGACAACATTTCTGGTCCTTTGCCGTGGAGGAGCCCGACCAGATCCCCGGACGGGTTCCAACGTGCACACACACGCGTGTGTATGACAAACGACCTATTGAAATGGCTTCCGCGCGCCGTGCTGCGGTTGCCACGACAACCAATGCTCTTTTGGTTTTGCATCGGGCCATGTGACAGCGACTTTGACGTCAGCCGGAGGCAGGCGATGTGGTGGGAGCTTGGCGAGCCGGGGGAGAGTGAGAATCTCTCCGCTGGAGGTGGAGGCTGCCGGGCTTATCTCGCTCGCTCTTGCGCGCGCTCGCCGCCGCCGCCTGCCTGCCTGCCTGCCTGCCTGCCTCGGGCTGCCGGAGCATGGAGCACTGAAGAGCTGCCTTTCTGCACGGTGAGGTAAAGAAAGCATTAATATTATTAGTATTATTATTAGCATTGTTCTCTCCCCGCGCGCCACAGCAATTCCACGCCTCGCTTTCCTGCCCGCCACTGTTGCGCTTGTTTCGGCCGCTTGGCGAGTTTCCCGCTAGAGGAGCCGCGGAAGAGGCGCTTCGACTTCTCCCTCCACGGACTTGAACCGGCGGCGGCGGAGGGAAATGAAGCGGAGGGATCCCAGGCGGGACACTTCCCAAGCCTCCCGGGATAAAGCGTGTGTATGTCTGGGTGGGGGAAACACGAGTTGTGTCTGGAGCCACGCTTCCGCCCAGCTTCCCCAAGGCTTCGGGGGAGCCTCGGAGCTTTAGGTCGAGGCTTTCAGTGCGCGCTCATGAAATTGCCTTCCTGATCCGATTAAAGAGCCCGCTTTGGCCGAGGGCTGTCTTTTTACGCAGCGCTTTGGCGGCGCTTGCCCGAAGGGGGCCCCGATCCTCGGTGTGTGTGGGGGGGGGGCTTCCTCTCCCAGGTTACGGGCTAGACTGCAACCTGAGCAGGGGGTTCCTCGGGAGGAAGTCCCGTTGAATGCCCTGGGAGGGAACTTCTCAGGGCGCGCAAGTGTAAGGAGGCACCACCGGCTGATGGGGAAAGGAAGGAGGTTAGCACAACAAACGCTGAGAGCTGCATTCTCTCCCCTTCCCCGGTAGGCGAGATTTTGTTTCAGTTTGCAGAAGCATCTTATATTTGCAAGGGGAAAGGGTGGTAAACAGGCTGTAAGCAGCAGGGAAGGGGTCTCGGGAGCAGCCTGACAGCGTAATCTGAAATGTGTGCTGCTGAGATACTAGATAAAAAGTAGTGAACTGTGTGGCTCTTTTCCCACTCTGCCAATCCCACTTGTAGCTTCGCCTTTCAAGTTCTTCTGCCGCGGAAAAGTAAGTTGCAAGAGCTAAAAAAAGGATACCTCAGTGGAACATTATTGTCTTATTCTTTGAATAAGTAGAAGGCTGCTTCCTCCGGGCCCCTTTGTTAAGGGAAGGGTGGGGGAAGATGGTTGTATTATGTGCAGAAATATTATTTGTGCAGAAATATTATTTGATAGCGGAGGATATGGCTATGATGGGATATGGGTGTTTGCCGATGTTTTCCACCTTCAGAACGGAGGAAGGCTCATGAATTAGAACAAAGATACAATGCACTGCTTGTCTCTTTCTAACCCAAAGTGTAGGGCTTTATTATTACTAGCAATAAAAGAAACCACATTTCTTTGAAAAGTCTTGTGGATCTCTACACTGCATTTGAAACACGCATGCACTAGTTAAACAAAGGCGCGAAAGTAATGTGGTTAAACTTTTCAGGGATATGAATGAAAGCAGCTTTGAAAAATTATTGCAAGTTATCTTCCTTTGGTGTGAAGGTTTAAGTGAGAAAGCAACTGTAGATTTGATTTTCTGGGAGTTGGAGAAATAAATGCGCCGTCTTTCTCAACATGCTTATGCTGAAACTTATTCAGGTTGTTGTTTTATATTAACTTGTGAATGATGTTCTTTTTAAAAACTGCATTTTCTTGTGTTTGGCTCATTTGTGAACATTGGGGGTTGCTGCCCAGCTTCCCTGCTTAGGTAAAACGTAGCTAAGCAAATCTCAAT